GACATTCAAACGTTATTCTTCAGATTTCTATTGTTATCTTTACCGGCATTCGAGCGAAAATATACGGTAGACGTGGGTACAGGTGAGTAAACATAGAAAATTGTTTACTGACGATTAACCGTACATCCATGAGATAATATAGATACGCTGCGCAATTTTTAAAGTCAATTTTATGCACGACACTTTGGCAAATGATAAAATAGAAGAGAGTTGCCTACCCAAGATATTTTATATTATTTTTCTCATTATTACTAATTTGTATGAAAGTTAATATTTTAAATTATAACTCGATTCTTTTAATATTATTCTATATTTAATCTTCTAGTAAAAATAAATTAATTTGTTATAAGTTCCTTTTTTACATGATATAAGAGATATAATTTGAGCAACTGATTATATTTAAACCGATTTCTAAAAATAAAAAAAAAAATAAATTTGTAAATAACAATAATAAAAAATATTTAAAATAATATGAATTTATTATTTGACATTATATCTGCACGGGAGAGAAATCATAATTATATTCCTTAAGGAATTGATAACCATACGAATATAGTTAAAGGTTAATTCATAATACAATTATATTTTTTATATGTAACAGCACACACACAATATCAATAATATTAACATTAATCAGCCAATATATGTATAAAATGCAACTATACGATTATTTCTAAATAGATCTGGTCAGATGAAGCACATTATAAATTGCACGAGTATAACTGCATAGCTATATTAAATCCTCCGAAAAGTTGTTAATTTTATAAATTAATAGTACTTTTCGATACAAGAGCGTAAAAGTTTTTTCTGCAAATGTGCGCGTTGCGTTCCGAGCCGAAGGCGAGGGTCGCATGCACATTCGTTGGAAAAAACATTTACGCCCATGTGCCGAACAATATTTTTTGTTGCAGTGTGCGAAAAGTGCCCTCGAAAATCGAAAAAATCACACTTTACGCACACTGTAACAAAAAATATGTTTATACCAGCAAAAGTATCTTTGGAGAGGAAAATGTAAGGAAAAGCGGCCTGCGACTAGAGTTCTCAAAAAGTTAAAAACTTTTAACGAACGAACGAGTCGTCCAATTCGCGGAACAATCGAAAATTTTCCAATGGACATAATTGTACAAAATGGTCTATCCGCAGCATTTTGATTTTCAGGACTCAGCCTCCATTTTTTAAGCCGCCATCTTGAACCTGGATTTCAGATTAGGTTCATTTTGAAGTTTAGGATGTGTATAATGATAATTTGTAGCGTTTTGATACATTTCAATCACTTTTCGGTATCAAAACAAGCGTTAAACTCAAAAATATCACACAAAAATTTAGGTTTTTCATCATTAAATCCCCTGTAACTTTTTTATTTCAATTTTTTCATCAATTTTAACAGCGCCATTTGAAAGAGCACAAAATTTTGCATAAGAAACGTCCTATTTGTTATTTTTTTTCTCTAATGTTCATTAAAAGTACAACCTCTGAATGTCGCGGCGCGGCGTCGCCACGCATTTGTTGATAGGCTAATTGATAAATGGCTTATATCTCATATAATATCAACAATACGAGAAAAGTGGTAAGAGGCTTTTTTGTTCTAATTAAATAGACGAACATTTTCTGTTTGAACTTTTTTTTCGTACGACTTAACGTTTTCGAGATATATCGATTTCAACAATTAAATTGTTAATAACAATTAACCTACCACTTTTTACAAAATCTAACCGACATATTCGGATTCAAGAGGTCAAAATCTATAAGAATCCATATATATCTCGAGGCGACATTTCAGGTCACACAGAAGTGTGTTATTCAGCGTCTGGACTAACCGTCGCGTCGTTCCCCACCACTGATACTTCATCGAGCGTCACACCCTTTAGCGACGTGAAAGTGAAGAGAGCTAGCTACGATCAACGCGATTTTAGAACTTTAATCCGGGCTCTACTAATAAGCTATTTTTCTTTGAGATAAGCCTGCCATGCTCTTATTAGACAGACTGTATGCACATATAAACAAAGGAAATTCATAAAGGTCTCTATTTCAGTATACAAAAAAATATTGCACCTCTTTAAATTATTTATAAGTTATATAACAATTAAATTTATGAGAATAATCTTAACCCTATCTATATATTCTGGAGTTTGAGACTTCAATAAAATTTCAAAACTCTATATCAGAGAAACGCAACTAAATTTTTTAACGCGTCAAATATAAAATTTGAAGTTACACCGCGGGCCACATCAGTAAAATTTAGAATTTATATTTTTTTAACTCTTAAATTATCCATGAATCACCACGTGGAAAAGACAAAGTTGATTTGTCGATCCGTCCAATGCAATGTAGGGTTTCTTGCGTTCTGGATTTTCAAAGTTACGGAAATTCATCGGTTTGTTTTATGTCTGGAATGGAATGATGAAAATTGATTTATCGATTCGTCCAATGTAGGGTTTCCTGCGCCCTGGATTTTCGAAGTTACGGAAATTCATCGGCTTGTTTTGGGTCTGGAATAGAATGATGAAAGACTTGAAGAAGGGTACACAAAGGAAGGCATATAAATGGTTTTTACCTGAGCAGAAATTATATCGAGAAAGCAGAGCTGAGTAAAATGTCTTTCGAATTCTATTTAAAATACTAAATATAAAATATAAAATACTTTTAAAAAGTATGCATTTAAAATGCAAAATGTAAAATAGATTTTTCGAATCCATTTTTAATGTAAAATAGATAAATACGTATTTTAAATAGTTTTCAAATGCAAACATTTTTTTAAATATACATATTTTTAAGTATTTTATATTTGAAATTACTTTGCATAATGCTGGAACATTCATTTTATGAATACACAAGTACACAACAAGGACTTCTTCTTCTTCCCTTCTTTAATAATTAATAATAAGATATTATATGTTACACCGACCTCTTGGATCTCTTAAGATTTGATGCAAGGACAATAAGAATAAGGTTATATGTCCACTATTTACTACGTAACATATTACAAATTACGTAACATCGTCGTCATGGCACAAATACAAAATGATGTCGCGGATAGTGATGCACATTTAGGCTGCGTTCCGTTTCACGCATATGCGCGCATTTCCCCTATAGTATACGTGACGCTCACTATATAAAATGCGCGCATATATGTCTGAAACGGAATGCAGCCTTACAATTAGTCTACTATTTGACTTCGGGCGTCAGCGCCACGAAAATCTTTCCACTTTTATCAATTCGGGCTCGGTGGTGCTAAGTTGATTGCGAGTGGTGGTAAGTGCGGGGTCAGTTGGTGAAAAAATTGAGTGAGGAGGCGAATTTTCTGTGGCATCTGGGATCAAATGCGTGCATTACTGCTCTCGAGTCGCGAATGATCGCAAACGTTAAAGTTCAGTTCAACATCACTATAGGAGAAACTATGTGTTTTGCAGGGAATGGAAGTAACTCGTTACTTGTAACGAAGTTACAGTTACAAGTTACTTTTTTGGTAACTTTACTGGTAACTGCGTTACTTTTTTTTTTTGGTAACTGTAACGGTAACGAGTTACATTTTTTGGGTAACTGTAACGAAATTTACAGTTACTTTTGTCGTTACTTTGCACACGATTGAACACGGTTCGATTGGATACATGTTATTTATAACGCTTATCAATAAGACTTGAAAGCCCTTATAGACATTCGGCCGTTATGATTCAGTAATTATTTTACACTTCTATCTTCTATGTAATACATAGGACATACAAATATTTCAGTTTGCTGCATATTTTACAGGTTTTAGAATTACAAAATTGTGTTTAAAAAAAATTAAAAAATAAATTAAATAATAGTAAAATGAGAAGGGCTATGAACCCAAAAGCAAAACAGTTTAAAAGACGATGACAATAAGTGTCGAAACGTCGTTTGTTTTTATCTTTGTTTTGTTCTAATATATATTTATACATTTAATTACATTGTCATCGTCGTTCTTATCAGAAATAAACTGTTTCATTTTTGGCTCGTAACCCTTCTCATTTTACTTTTATTTAATTTATTATTTGAGCCATTCTACATTGTTTTTTTTTTAAATAAAACTATATATTTGTCAGTATTACATATAAAAAAAAAATGCAAAAGTACATTTTTAAATTGATTTTAAAAAAGTAACGGAAAAGTAACGAAAAGTTATTTTTCAAGTAACGGTAACTGTAACGAGTTACTTTTAAAAAGCAATAACTGTAACTGTAACTAGTTACATTTTTTACTCGGTAACGAGTAACTGTAACTAGTTACTTTTAAAAAGTAACTTTCCATTCCCTGGTGTTTTGGGACTTGGTTCTTCTTACGCGTTAATGACTAGGGAATGAATTTACGTATGGAATAAACCATTTACCTACTTTATAAATGGTTAAATGATAGACATGATTGCATTTCAAATGTAAAATGGAAATGGTTTTCTAAAAAACCATTTAAAATGGAACTATTTTAAATATTACCCAGCTCTACGAGAAAGTGCATGCCTGATGCCACCTGATGCATAACTGATCGGGAAAAAGTAGGGTATATCATAATATGAAATTTCCGACCATTTTTATGGTAATCGGGAAATAGTAGGATATGTTCTAATATAAAACTCCTGCCAGAGCGTCTTAATACATTTAAGCGCCTTGGGCTAATAGGCGCTTTTTTCATAATTAAAAAAAATCTCATTTTTATTTTTATATCCGAATACTGATATTATTATTTTTTATCGAGTTGGTGTACTTATAAAAATATTCTTTATAATACTTTGTTTTATAATATCTTTTATTAAATTATTTTATTTAATTTTTTTAATGAAATTTAATACAAATGTATGCAATAATTTAGAAGATAATCTTAATTCATATAAAATCTAAGCCGTCTCGCTACCGCCCTTGCTCCTGAGCGGCGCGGCCCACGCGTACTTGCTCAGCACGTCGATGACGGTGAGCACGTAGTGACGGCCCCTGTTCTGGCTCGAATACGGCCGACGCTATCGCGGGGATAATTCGCGAGAGCGGGAGATGCCCGAAGAACCTGCAAACGGATATGGGGAAGGAGTTTTACAACTCGGATGTGCAGAAACTCTTGAAGAAGCACAACATCAATCACTACTCCACGTATTCCGTAATGAAGGCGTCGGTGGTCGAGCGGTTAAGAACGACATGTGGAAGATGTTTACGCTCAACGGCACGTACAAGTGGGTCGACGCGTTGCCGCGTCTCGTGTCGGATTACAACGCGCGCAAGCATCGCACCATCGGCATGAGGCCCGCCGACGTGACCCCCGCTGTCGCCGAGAGACTCCTGGACACGGTGTACGGCGCGATAAAGATCGCCGGTCCCGCGAAGTTCAAAGTGGGCGACGCGGTACGCGTGAGCAAGTACAAGACAATCTTCGAGAAGGGCTACACGCCAAATTGGACCACGGAGGTGTTTCGAGGTGCACTCGTCAGAGTGCAGAGGACTAATCCCGTGACGTATCTCTTGGAGGATTACCGCGGCGAACCGGTCGCCGGAGGATTCTACGAGCACGAGTTGCTTCGCGTCGCTAATCCCGACGTGTATCTGGTTGAAAAGGTGTTGCGCAAGAAGGGAGACAAGGTGTACGTCAAGGGGCTGGGATTCGACGGATCGCACAATTCGTGGATAAATAAACGAGATGTCGTGTGAATTATAATAATTTTTATTCGTATAACATATATATCAAAATATGTATATTTCAAAAATAAATATACCAGTATATCACGATATCGTTGTCGTTCTTTATTCCTTTCAATAAGTTGACGACAAACTCTCTTACAAGATACACACGTGCGAGTACAAAATCAGTATAAAACTCAATACGTACATGTATAGTACAGGTACAGTCAACCTCAATACGTACAACCCAATACGTAAAACTCAATACATAACACTCAATACATAAAACTCAGTATAAAACTCAGTATAAAACTCAATACATACAGGTATAGGTACAAGTCTAGGTACACGTATAAGTAAAAGTACAAGTACAGTCAACCTCAATACATAACGCTCAATACATAAAACTCAATACATACAAGTTTAGGTATAAGTAAAACTCAATACATAAAAACTTAATATGTAAAACTCAATACATACAAGTATAGGTATAAGTAAAACTCAATACATAAAAACTTAATACGTAAAACTCAATACATACAAGTATAGGTACGAGTATAAGTATAAACTCAGTATAAAAAAGTAAACGTATACAATACATAAAACTCAATACGTCTAGGTATAGGTGTGAGTATAAGTACAAGTATAAACTCACTACGTCTAAGTACGAGTATAGTTATGAGTATAGGTATGAGTATAGGTACGAGTATAGGTATAAACTCAGTATGAAAAGTAAACGTATAAAATACGTAAAAGTCTAAGTACAGGTAAACTACCACGCGAGCTACACTATCCGGTAATGCCCCCACGGTAAGGTGTTCGTCGAGTCCCGTACGATGTACGGTTTGTCATCGTACGGACTCAGAGCGATCTTCTTCTCCGACACCGTGTACACCCGGTGTAACTTGGATCGTATGCACGCCTGCCTGCGCGTCATTTCGATATCCTCCTTCAGGCACCGGGTGTAATCCTCGAACGATATCGTTCGCGCTACGATGCTGCTTTTCACCCCGTTCGCCTTCTTAGTGTCCCTCTTTCCGTCGACGCGCAGCGCGTACATCTTCGCTCTGAGCCCGACGAACTCGGTCATGATGGCGCCGTTGTTCTCGTCCTTCATGAGACCGGGCACCTTCTTGTTCGCGAGAGGCATACCGTACGCGTTGTTCGCGGGATAGTCGCTCGTGTCGAATCTGTCTATGTCGCGTTTCATGGTTTCGTACACGTCGTCGCACTCTATACGGTATAGATCAGACTGTCCGTGTCGGTGTACATGATCTCGCACCTATCGCGAAACAGCGGCGTCATGTACTCGTGGTGAAACTCGTACAAGCACGTTTTCGAAATGTCCAGGATGCACATATCCACGTAAATAGGCTTGTCGAATTTCACCTCGAGTTTCCGCAATTCGACCGCTATCAGGTTTT